TTTTTTTTTTTTTTTGTACGGTAAATATTCAATTCGTGATCTGTTTTTAAAATAGTACATATATTTAGTTTCATTTAATATTTTTAATAAAATAATACACCATGTGGAAATATCTATGGGAGAGTTTTGATGAGGAAATAGCATTACAATTAAAAAAAAAAAAAAAGTTAGAAATATGCGTGTTAAAAATATGAAATATTTGAAGTTTTATTAATTATAAAGAAAAAAAGAGAATATTTTCCCATCATGTAAAAGAATTTGTTTAAAAATGGGCCGGTTGTGATGTACGTGTAAGTTCATTAATGTTCATTTTTAACAACCGAATTTGTGGATAGGAAACATTGACTTAAAGACTTGTCCTACAGAAAATGCTTTGCAGAATATTGGGTCCTTGATCCCACGCAGAACCTAAAATATTTCTTTTATTGAGCATAATATGACCCACAAAAATTGAATGTGTCTGCAAATCCTCTGACTTAAAAAAATGTAATAATTGAATCGAAAGGAAGTATGTTACCTTGCGACGCCTCTATATTTTGAGACTCCTCGAGAGAAGCCGCTACTTTTTCTGTAAATTAAAGATTAATTCCTGAAACTCGATGACGTGGCATAAGAAGTGGGGTTTGGAAATAATGCTTAATGCATATGCATGGAATTAATGTGTAAACATTTAATAACAGAAAACCTTCTTAAGGATCCGATGTATTCTTCCTTAGATTGATCTTCCATGTCCTTAAGCTCGTCTTCATAATTTGATAGCTAGGTAGGATGAATATTTGAAATGAGTAAAAGAAAAAAAAGAAAGATGGTTGGGTTGAAAATTGAAATAATGGAAATGGAAGGATGGGATGTACGGGAAAATTGAGGAGGGTGTCTTGGCCCCAGTACTTCAATGCTGCCAAGTCATAGGCACGTGCTGCCGCATCTTCCTCGTCATATGCCCCTAACCATCCAATTAATCTTATTACTACTGAGTCCAAATAGATGAAGGAAAAATGTTGAGTCTTGACTCTTACCGAGATACACTGCACTCAGTAGTTCCCCAATAACATAAGCATGGCCATGAAGAAGCAAGAGAAGATAAATAAAATGAATGAGAGTGGAAGAAATTGGAAATAGGAAATAAGAAATAGGATGAATGAATTAAAGAAGGTACCTTGTCTTCCTTTCTTGGTCTGCGATTGATTCCAGCAAGTCTTATCCCACAAATGAGCCTCATATCGACCTGTCCATCGATGCCTATAAATTATGATAATTAATAGATGAATAGATGAAATGGGGGTAGCAACAAGCAAAGCAATAAGCAATAAGCAATAAGCAATAAGCAATAAGAAGGTACCTTGTAACGCCTCGGTAGATGGAGGTTCGTTGTGAAGGAATGGTGTTGCGTGGGCGCTTAACCTTAACCTTGCCCTTGGTCTTGGTCTTAGCCATCCCACAAGACAAGACAAGAGAAGAGAGAGTGTACGCTTACAGTTACAGTTGGAGAGTTTAGTTATATCACAATTCACAACCAAGGACAAGGAGGGGCATTACTGGAAATACATAAATGCTCTCTCTCTCTTAGGACTTTAGGATTGGCTCATCAAAAGGCAAAAGCAGTTGGGAGTTGAGCATAATAGCCGGCTACAAAACATGCTTTTTATTGCCTGGCCCTCCCCTAGTCCTCAAATCTCAATGCTTTTGTCTTTATCTTTCTACCTCTACTAATTCAACCTTTCTCTTCTTTTTAATTATATTAATCAACGCTAACTTCTTATTCATAATACCATCATCATTTGCATTTAACATTAACAATCTTCTCTTTAGCTTTTCATACCAAAAAATTACTTTTCAAATCACTCTATTTTCAAACTCAATGTATATAAATAGAATCCATTAAAACCTCTATACACGTTTAGTCAAATCTCTTTATATATATAACTACAACAAAAGGCATTCGCCTTTTTTAAAAATAATGCATGGAGACATAAAATATCTTTTTACATTAGTATTAATAAAAATGGAGATACTTCTATCTATTTTTATTTTTTTTCTTTAATAATTATAATTTTTTTTGTATATTCTTTTGAAAAAATTTTCACCTGAAAGATATTTGTTATTTTTTTTTTTTTTTAATAGAAACACGAAATATTATTTTTACTAGTATATATAAATAAAGTATATTTATATTTAAAAATTAGCAATTAATTAGGATTGTTCCAGTAAAGAGATAATAGCCGAAGAATCTTTAGTAATGTAAACTCTAAGAGAACCTAGCCGCCGTCCTGACCTAGAATATTTAAGAGTGAGAATAACCTACTTTCATCAATCTCCTTTCTCCTTATTTATATGGGTCCCATATACGTGACACGAATCTTTGATTCTCATCCCCTTAAATGCGTGCGGATCCCTCTCTGTAATGAGTCCATGAACCGCATATATAATCATAATCAAATCTACACAATAATCACGGGAATCACAAACTTGATTAGTTTTGTCGGAACTTGCTCGTCAATATACCGATGGCTAGCCTAAAGTTCAGGTTGGTCGGTCGGATGGAGACCAGGAAAGTATGTGTTGTTCATCCTGCTCGGCCAATTGGAGACCAAGAAAGTATGTGTTGTTCGGCCTGCTCGGTCGATTAGAGATCGGGAGGGTACACAGCCCTCTTGGCTCGAGCATTAGCGATGCAAAGAGTCATTGATCGGTCAACTTGGCAAATTGGAGATCATGAGGGTACATAGCCCTCTTGGCTCGAGCGTTAGCGACGCGTAGAGCTATTAATCGGTCAACTCGGCCAATTGGAGACCAGGAAGGTACAAGGATCATACACATTAAATTAAATTAAATTAAAAAATAAAATAGATTATTTTATGTTGTTTATATGTTTAAGATTTAAAATTACTTAATCAAAGGACAACATAGATGGTGATTATTATATTTTTAAAATTATAAATTTAATTAAAATGTATTAATAAAGAAAATATTTTTACATCATCATTTAATTGTAGATTAACATATAAAAATATTAAATTTGATAATAATTATTTTAAAAATTATATTCAGGAACATTTTTAATTAATACTAGTAGTGTACAAATATTTACAGTTTTAATGTGTAAAAAAAAAAAATTCTTACCAGTGCATGAATTAACTGACCTAAGACACAAGTCGAGTGTTTTGAGTTCACGTCCTCATTTGCATCAAATACTTAGAAGATTTTTTTTTTTCCCGCTTATAATGACCTTGTTAAACTCAAACAATATTATCTTATGTATGAAGGATGTGAGTATTATAGTTGTTGAAAAACCTACGGGTAGATCAACGATTTCATTTGCATCACTGAACCAATTAATTGGATATTAAATATATTTAAATACAGGGGAAGTTAATTAAAAAATATATATGTTTGAAGTATGACACACTATATGACTATATGTGAACAAATAACATTTGGAGTAGCCTAATGGATAAGGTTTAAATAATATTAGATAAAATTTGGACTCGAATTTTGATATTAATATTGTAATTTTGATAAATGAAAAAAAAATTACTATAACATTTGAAGACCAATAAATTTATTGAGTAATAATTTTTTTTTAATTTATAGAAATTACAATGATGATAAAGTCCGAATGTAAGAATATGCTATTTCAATTCTTCACCGTTAAATTAATCTTAATAATTCTTAATTATAGTAATAGTTAAGTAATATACATAAACTGATATAATTTTTTATAAGTTTGATTTTTATTAATAAAAATATATATAATGCTTAGACTTGATAAATTATAAAAAAAAAATAATAATAACAAACTTTTTAACATATGGTTTTTTTTTTTTTTAGAAATATATGCTTTTAAATACACTATTTGATATTGACTTAAATTTATTAAAAGCTATAATGTTTATTAGTTTCACTACTTATTTAACGAATATTTTTTTTTCCTAATTTTGTACTTTTCAATATATTTTAACTAACAGTGAACAATAAAGAAGACAAATTATCTTGTGTTAAATTATTTCATATTATACCTCCTCTTTGAAGGAAAAAAAAATTATATCATATCTGTCCCCCGTATCCGTAATAAAAATGTTAGTGGTCATTTACCATGTTTTATTTTTATCATATTCAATTAAGATATTTGATACTTTTTATTCCTTTTCTTTTTTAAAAGAACATTGCTCACTGAAGGTAGAGAAATCAAAACCACAAGTTTATGACCCTAAATTTAATAAAATACATTACAGTTTTTTTTTTTTTGACAAGTAAAATACATTACAGTTAAAGATCATCGTTAGCTGTCATTGAGAAAATGTTTTCATCTCAAATCACACTTTTTCTTCTATGGACCTCCTTATTGGTTCTCTGTCATGCAAAAATTCATTATCGAACTGTTCTCACTGGAGATCGGTCGTGGGAGACAATCTGCTGAGTAAGATCGGTGAGCTTTCTTTACTGATACATTTGATGCTTTAAGATGAGGGTGATACCTGCAAAAGAGATTTCAATGTCAAAATTAGTGTTTGTGGGAGTAGTATAAGTAATGCACGTACCTTTGTGTGTATTATGGTTTATTAGGCCTTGGGTCCGAGATCAGTTATGACCTAATTGGATAGTGAGCTTCGTCTTGGCCGAGGTCTCCACGGATAGTACACGAACAAAGAATAAAAATTAAATAAAAATAAAATTGTGGAGAATTTGTAAGATAGTGATTTGCACACTACGCCCAAATACATTGGTGCGATTTTAGTTTCCGAGTACAAGCAATACCACTTACATAGAAGAGTACTTCAGCAATGTTTCAATAGAAATCTTTTTTTTTTTTTTTTTTAAATTACTCTATTATAAAGCTGATTTTTTTTAAGATAAACTTATTTAAATACAAATTAACATACATCTCAAGTACATAAATTAACAAAGAGGATGTTATTCAAGTTTAACTAATAGTATTAAATTCGAATTTTAAATATGTAATTATGTTTAGTATGTATAATTGTCTCCCGTAAAAATTTAAAAAATATGTATATTTAAAGAGGAAGGATTATATTATTTCAAAAAACTGATGGATATTAACTCAGTTGGTTGAGCTGTTGGGCATATGTAACGTGTGAGTATTTTAAACTTTTTTATATCAAATTTGATTTTTGTGGGAAAAAAAAAAGTTACTTCAAGAAATTAAATTTGTGGAATTCACCATTCATTTTCTTTAAATTCAGAAGTTCTAACAAATAATTCATTTATAACCATTACATTAAAAGAAAATAAAGGTTTAGTATGGAAGCTAACTCTGTCTTTTTAAAGTTACCTATGGAGTAACTTCATATTTAAATTGGAGTATTATAAAAAGTAAAGACAGCAAAAAAGTAACTTTACACTCACGGCAGGGTATATAATAGAATTTCAGTTACAAAACAAAAATAGAATGATTGAATCAAGATCACCCAAAAAAGGTTAAAAGAATGATTGAATCAACACTTAGTTATGAATTCAATCGTTGCTTTCCATGGCTTGCCTAAAAAGAGTAAACAGGGTTTCAACCACCCATCCGGTTTCAGCGAACTTAGCTCATTAATTAAAACACAAATCCATTGCTATGTTTAATGTAAAAGCTTAAACAATTAGGTGAAAATACATAAGTAATTTTATTTTAGCATCTCTAACAAGTACAACTTTAGTGTGCGATTGGATTTGGTTTCTCCATTTATTTGATGATAGTCAAACGTGACTAGAAGAAAAAATATGTTTGGGTATTTGCTAGTAAGTTGTGAATCAAATTAAAGATAAGTCTGGCTTTGAACTCCTTTCCGAGACACCGACAACAAGCTCTGCCCGTACTTAAACTTATACATAATTTTAATAATCCATAGCAGTTTTTATCAGCAATATCATCATCTAAATAATATTCCACCGAGCATCTTATACTAGAACTTAGGCACCCCCATACACAAGTTCTGATGAGATACACATCCAAACACACTAAATAATTTACTGAATCATCTAGCGACCCAATGCACTAGAATTGGGGAAACAGAAACACTGTTGAAGAGAAATTCAAGATTAGATATGCCTCGGACAACATATACGATACTGATGCTGTCTCATAATTGTCAGTGGCTAGTGCCTGTGGGGGCCCAGGGAAGCAATGCACTTCAGTCACATAAAATAAATGAATAAAAGGAATGCGCTTCAAGTCCTATGGTTATGCTTATGCTTATGCAAGGTGGCTTGCATCATGATGTCAAAAATACCAGGTCGGGAATACTGTGATTCAGACTAAGTGGAACAACTCAACATGGTGATGATGATGATTATTGTTAATTTTCCCTATAAATGATTGGATGGTTTATGTTCCGGTCAAAGGATAACGGTGAGAAAAATCTTAGTAATACAAATTCTAAGAGAACCTAGTCATTGTCTTAACTTAAAACATTTAATGAGTGTAACCTACCATTAGTAAAACCCTCCTTCCTTAGTAAAACCCTTCTTCCTTTATATATATGGGTGTCATATTTAAAGATACAAATATTTTTCTTCAATCTCAATCTCTTGACATAAGCCTTCATTTTATTTCTCATAATGAGCCTATAAATCACATTTATAACTGTAATCAAATATGTGCGAGAATCATGAAAATTACTGTCTTAATCAGTTTTAAAAAATTCGTGAGTGATCTTAAATTTGACCTGCTCGGTCGGATGGGGAGTTGGAGGATACACAACCCTCCAAGCTCGAACGTCAAGGGCGCGAAAAGTCTTTACTCGGTCAATTGGGGATTTGGAGGGTACATAGCCCTTCAGGCTCGAGCATCAAGGGCGCGAAAAGTCTCGAGTTGACTCGTTCAGTCGGTTGGAGAGTCAAACAGTATATAACCCTCCAGGCTTGAGAACTAAAGTGCAAAGAGTCTCACTTGTTATACCAAATTCATGTTTTTACATTGTCGAATTAGTAATTGTTCACAAGATAATCGTGTTATTGAACAATTAATTACCGAGTGGATGTGATAACATTTCGTGTATGGTAGATAAACATTTTAGTTCATATCAAGTAGTCAGTCAACAACCGATTTCACGAAGACCTTAAAATGCGTATTCAACGCTAAGGGTATATGTTGGTGAAGACCTTAAAGTGTTCTTTACTCAAGAAATCAAAATTTAATCGACCTTAAAACGCATCTTTGGCGCTAAGGGTGTATGTTGGTGAAGACCTTAAAGTGCTTTACATGCCAAGGAATTAAAATTTAGTCGACCTTAAAACGCGTCTTTAGCGCTATGTTGGTGAAGACCTTAAAGTGCTCTTCACACCAAGGAATCGAAATTTAGTCGACCTTAAAATGCGTCTTCGGCGCTAAGAGTGTATGTTGGTGAAGACCTTAAAGTGTTCTTCACTTGAGAAATCAGAATTTAGTCGACCTTAAAACGCATCTTTGGCGCTAAGGGTGTATGTTGGTGAAGACCTTAAAGCGCTCTTCACGCCAAGGAATCATAATTTAGTCGACCTTAAAACGTGTCTTCGTTGCTAAGGGTGTATGTTGGTGAAGACCTTAAAGCGCTTTTCACGCCAAGAAATCAGAATTTAGTCGACCTTAAAACACGTCTTTAGCGCTAAGGGTGTATGTTGGTGAAAACCTTAAAGCGCTCTTCACGCCAAGGAATCGAAATTTAGCCGACCTTAAAACGCGTCTTTGGCGCTAACGGTGTATGTTGGTGAAGACCTTAAAGCGCTCTTCACACCAAGGAACCAAGGAATCGAAAGTTAGTCAACCTTAAAACGCGTCTTTTTGGCGCTAAGGGTGTATGTTGGTGAAGACCTTAAAGCGTTCTTCATGCCAAGAAATTGAAATTTAGTTGACCTTAAAACGCGTCTTTGACACTAAGGGTGTATGTTAGTGAGACCTTAAAGCACTTTTCACGCCAAAAAATAAGAATTTAGTCGATCTTAAAACGCGTCTTCGGCGCTAAGGGTGTATGTTGGTGAAGACCTTAAAGCAGTCTTCACACCAAGGAATCAGAATTTAGTCAACCTTATAATGCGTCTTCGGCGCTAAGGGTGTATGTTGGTGAAGACCTTAAAGTATTTTGACATAAATATTTTACTCTATCGATATTAAAATTCATAACAATAAAGTAATAATTTATGTTCTATTATTGAAAAATTAAAAGAGTAATTAATTTTAATAGATAATTTATTGTAACGTTATATTATCAATTTGGTAATGATCGTTCCACAATTATAGTCAATTAGCAACAACAAACTTAATTATTATAATTAATTATAATTTTGAACAAGTTATTTAATTGAAAGAAACTATGAATCCTTTTCTAATCACAAAATTATAAAATACATGATTTGTTAAATGAAACCATAAAACCATACCATAAACATATATGTAACAATGAATTAATTGTAATTGTATTGCTTGCCTTTTATTTTAAAAACCAAATCAAGAAATTAATTACATGTTAGACATAATGTTAATTATTATAAATTATGAAATTATATAAGCTAAATAATGCAATTAAAATAAATTAAAGTGTATGTTGAGCATCATATATTTTGTCAAATTGCTAATTGTTTGTCATTCAATTTTTGGAACAATAGCAATTTATATATATAACATAATATAATATAAAATAATTCATAGTACAAATTGAAGAAAAAAGAAAGAGAAAGAGAAGAAGTAATTGAGAACACGACACGAGAAGGGGAGAGAGGAGAATCGGGATAAAAATAAATCAAACAGAATAAACTCCCGAAACCATCCCTCCCCTTAAACAAAAAACAAATAAATTTTATTAACAATTTTTGGACCCATCATGCTAGCAAACCTGACATGGCAAAGGTCTATTAACAAGAAAAAAAACTACCTTATGTGTATGTACATGACTCACCTTTCTCACAACCCATCACAATCCTCAAGTAACTGCATATAACATAATCTCTTAAAGGACTTTACCAACCATCATTACTAAATGAATCTTGTGTTGATTACTATGTTTTGAGACAACACCATGAACATTAAGTAGAGAAAAGCCATGATCATCACCGACATCATCCAAACTTTGCAAAATTCTTGATCGATTTAAACGATTATTTGTTTGATTCAACAACATTGACAAAACCTGCAATTAAGCATCCCTAATAAACAGATCAAGGTTCAATCCATGATACAAGAACTGAAACATTGACTCTAATTGAACATTTTTACGTGACAACGATTAAAAGGAATGGGAATTCGATACTTAGCTGTTTTTATTTCAAGTTTGATAACTACATAAACCTCTTAGGTGTCCAACGTCTAATGGCAGAGTTGAAATTTAACCACGTGATCATGGGTTGAAGTTGTAATGGTCGTGGGAAGAGTTTTCCCGAGGCCCCACACGGTAGGCGCTAAAATGTTCCAATCAAAGGATAACGGTCAAAGAAACCCTAGTAATACAAACTCTAAGAGAACCTAGCTGTCGTCTTGACTTAGAACATTTGATGAGTATAATCTACTATTAGTAAAACCCTTCTTCCTTTATATATATATGGGTGTCATATTTCAGGATACAAATATTTTTCTCCAATCACAATCTCTTAACATGAGCCTTCATTTTATTTTTCATAATGAACCTATAAATTACATATATAACTGTAATCAAATATGTGCGAGAATTATGGAAATTACTGTCTTAATTAGTCTTAGAAAATTCGTGAGTGATCTTGAATTTGACCTGCTCGGTCGGATGGAGAGTTGGAGGATACACTTTATAATGAAAAATAAACACAATATAGCAAACATAATCAAAGCCTTATTCAGGGGTTAACTTATTATGAGGTGCTCTTAGTAAATACACGGCCAGCAATAGCAAATGACATGTACCACAACCACAACTTCATCTATTGATTTCTACACCTGAGTTTTACTTGGAGGGGATGGAGCTTGTGGGTGGTAAGGCCCACTGTATCCACATTATCTTCCTCCCCTTGTCCTAGCTCCCACTCAAATTGCTGAACCAATCTTCCAATTGCGGTGGAAGCTATCAACATGGCCTGAAGAGAGCCTGCACACACCCTCTTCCCTGCTCCAAAGGCCATGGTCTTGTATAAATCCATGGGGTCATATTTCTCATCAAGAAATCTCTCAGGCTTCCACTCATAAGGATTTTCCCACCGATCCTCATCCATGTTGCATCCATATATATTTATTGCAATCTGTTAAAATAACCCTGTCAATAATGGTAATCACATATGATAAAGATGAAGACTATGGATAGTGAATTCAGAAAATAAATAGACCTCGCTTCCAGTAGGAATATGATACCCTCCCAATTGTGTATCTTCATGAACATATCTTAGTGGCACAATTGGAGCTGGACTATGCTTCCTTAAAGTTTCATGAAATACAGCCCCCAAGTAAGGTAGCTTAGCTAATTGCTCTTCGGTAACTTTTTCTTGCCCACATACATCTCGGAGCTCTTCATACAGACGACCCTGCCATGTAAAGAGGAATCCCGTGAAAGTGTGTCCATATACTACCATGTACAAATAAATAGATGATTAGCCAGACACAGAAAAACAAACAACCTGGCGAGTTTTGTCTTTAGCAAGTTCATACATAGCCCATTCTGTTGTAACTAATGTAGTATCAGATGTCTCAATAATGGTCTCCCAGATTAGCATGGAAACTTGATCTTCAGTCAGGTCTTTAGCCTCTGATACCAGGTAGTCAAAATAACAATTTACTTCCTGTGACATCCCAAACAATCAAATTAATATAACTCTACCATAGGCTTTGTACAGATTTGACGTTGTCCTCAAGAAAACCCTACCCTCCCTGAAGCCATTCTCTTCTTCTGCTCGTTCATCAAGGCTTTCATGACAGCTTTTCTGCGGATATACAAATTGTGAATTTTCATCTCCATGCTCCTATTTGGAATCCACTTCAAGTATGGAAAGAAATCTCGCCAATCCACCTCAATTGCACCCTCCATTATATCAACCACTAGAATCTTGTATATGTCCTCTCTTGATAACGTACTCCCAAGCTCCTCCACATGAATGGACTCTATATTATTTCCCAGAGCCTGTCCATTTCCGGTCCCCAGTTTTGTAAATAAGTAATATTCTATTCTAAGAAAATATCTATTTAATCTTCATTTAAGAAGTAGAAACTCACTTGCTTCAGTGCTAATCCAAAAAGTTCAGTTGCAAATATTTTCCTAAAATTAACTGCTAAATCAGAGAAGGTCTTCACATGTTCATCGAACTGCCTCAAAATATTTTCCATCATGCCTTCTCTGTGGATACGATGTCGCTTCTGAATATTGAAAAATAGACATCAGAGACACTCACCAACCAAACCACACACAAAAAACGAGTTCTATATACTGAAATACTGATAAAGTAAGCATGAAGTTATTGTAACCAACCTGTGCATTGGCTCCCAGAAAGTTTGCAAGAATATGTCTTTTGACCGTTTTGTGAAATTCATTGTAGTCACTTGTGGCAACCATACATTTATCAGAAGTCAGAATCTTCAGTGCATTTGATAGCTTCCTTGTTGAAATTGATGAAAATCTGGTCACCATTGCCTGAAATAGCCATAAGATTTTATAATCCAATTAACCATAAATTAAATAAGAATCCGTGCCTGCTGGTACTAACTAATATGAGAAACAACCGAAGAATATAAAGCAGTAGGTCACCGATCTGAATTACTATGCTACGCCTACGCCTACATAGGACTTAAACAACATGCTAATAAAAGTTGGTACAGTGGATCAATCATAGAATCAAAGTAGCATGCGTGGTGAGAAGAGAAGATAGGAAGGAGGGACCTCCTTAGCAACTTGGGCAGAGTTGAGAACTATGAGAGTGGAAGCACCGGTTCTGATGGAATAAATGGGGCCATGTTTGTGAGCCATCTGTGTGAAGGTCTTGTAAGGCTTCTTCTCCTTCAATTGCAGCAGGTTCCCTATCACTGGTAAACCTGGAACCGCTGCAACCACCCAATTGAATTACTGCTTAATGCTTATGCTGTATTCATTCATAATTTCATAATAACATGAAACATAAAAATAAAATAACATGTGAGTCCGTATTTATATAATAAATGATATGAGTGAGAGTTGATACATACCTGGTACCGGGGGAAGTCCCTCATGCTTATATTTGTGAGGTCTGAGGCGGAGTAGCAGGAAGAAGAAGAAGAGAGAGAAAGCAGCCACAGCAGGTGAGTGTGTCTGAAGAAGTTGCAGCAGGGTGATGGTGTCCATAGTCACAACTTACACGTCTCAGTCTATAGTCTCTAGTGACTTGTAATGAATCTCCAATCCTCAATCAGATGAAGATGTGAAGTACTATCTTCGAATTTGGAAGCTATAGTGACAGCATCTTTCCCTTTTCAGATTCCCTTTCTCCATCCACCGGGTCCGGGATACAAATATTTTATTTACACGCACACCTGCATGACAAAACTATACATATATAATACTTTAGATATTAAGACTTTAATTAACAACATGAGTTACAAATTATTTTAACTTAATAAATAATTTTTAATTCAAATCATAATATATAATTGAAAGAAATATTTTGTCAACATTGGATATAAAAAAAAGTAATCTTATTCTGCATAACTTAAAAATAAAGATTTATTAAAACTATATACCTTTTTATAAAGTTAATTAATTTATAATTAATGATTTAATCGTATAAAACTAAAATTTATAATTAATAAATACTTATAAATATATAAATTATATTATAATTAAAATTATAAAATATGTCTACTTAGTTGAAAAAATGTTTTTTAAGCTTAGACTTGATTTATTAACTAAATAAGTCAATCATTAAAAAGGTTAAAAAGGTTAAGCTATAAGTCTTCAAGGTAATCCTAACTTATTTTCATATTAGTTTAAGGTTTTTTTTGTGGTTTTTTTTACCATTGTAGGACAATTCACAAAATTATTTACATGAGATTCTTTTAAAATTATTTATACCTTTAAAAATGTTGTTTTGACTTATAGTAACACATATATCACATTTTTTTTTATGTTTTTTATTTATGAGAATTATATTTTGTTGTTATCTGTTGTAACAATTTAAGTATGACTATTTTTTTGGGTTGTTATAATTCATAGCCATCCGTTTAAAAAAAATTGATGGATCTATAGATCAAAGTGACTAAAACAAAAAAGAAATAAATATAAAAAATAAATTGATAGTGCTATAGGTCATAACAACCAAAACAAAAAAAAATGATAGTGTTATAGGTCATAATGATCATAATTTTTTATTTTACTTAAAATTTATATTTTATTTAATATTTACATGAAAAAGAAATCATTTTCTTTTTTTAAATATTCACACTTTCAAAAATAAAAATTACATAAATTAAAGAAAAAATAAAAAAAATGAAAGTAATATATTTTTAAAAAATTTGGTATATTTGTTAAACAAATATTGCATATTTTTTTTTAAAACTTTAAAATAAATTATCTTCATTTATCAGTAATAATAATAATTATGTAAAATTAAAAAGATGAAAGTAATATATTTATTAAAAAAATTGATATATTTATTAAAAAATCTTGTATTTTTAAAAAGTAAAAAATAATAAGTCAGAAAATAAATAAATAAGTAAATATAAAAAGAGGGAGGTCACTCACTACAACGATAACGACCCCCAGTTTTTTTAAAAAATAATAATGAAAACTATGTAAAACTTAAAAAAATATGAAAGTAATATATTTTTTTAAAAAAAATATACTTATTAAAAAAATCTTGCATATTTTTTAACTTCTTAAAATAAATTATCTTTATTTATCAGTTTAAAAAAACAAAAGAAAGTAAATAAATAAGTAAATTATATAAATAAATAAATAAACTGATAGTGTTATAAGTCATAACGACCAAACTAAAATAAAAAAAAATGATGGTACTGAGTAATAGCAAAAAAAAAATTATACATATATATGATATTATAAATTATAAGGACCCAAACGAGATACGTGACGTGATCCTATTTAACAAATTGTTACAGATAATAACAACTTCCTTGATGTCACTATTAGTGTAGCGACATCAACGCAGGATAAATGGTTCATACAAAATTTTGGAAAAAAAAATCATAGCATATTTCTCGCAAAACCGTAAAAAAAAATAACCGCAAAAATATAAATAATTAGAAAAGAACCCTATTTTCATAAATAATTTTCAAAACTACCTGTTTTTGTTTTATATACCGTTGGTATTTGGTGTAGCATCCATTTGCATAGGGACCATAAAAAATTAAGGAATGTTAAACGTTAACATCAACATCAACGGTTAGGCCACCGCATAGTTTAAGGGTTCAATATTCCAAGGCGGATCATTAAGAATATAAACCTACACATAATTTGGATTCTTTCATATTCCTAAATAATAACGATAATATTTAGAACAAATTATTATATTTTTATCTTTTATTTTACATTTTAAATTTATTTTCATCTTTTATTTTTTAAGAATTTATTTTAATTATTTATTCATTAAATTTGAATCAATCTAGTTTATTCAAAATAATTATTGTAATTAATTTTGAGATATTTTTATTAAAAAAATTTGATTTTTGTCTCATTTATATGAATATTATTAAATGCAACTAAAGTTAAAGTTAAATTTTTTTTATAAACATGATAAATATTACATAAAAATAACTCCAAAAAATTTTAATTTCATAGTATTTTCTAATTGCTCATGAGATATATCTTTCATATAATTTTTATTATGTTTATAGTTTTTTTAAATTCAAATGTCAATTTAATTTCAGAATTTTTATATAGATGATTTAATATTACAAGTTTTATATATTGAATAAGTAAAAATTAATTTAAAATTGTGTCACAAAATTGAAAATAGTCATTGTTTTAACATGATCAAATTAATCCAAAGATAAATACTAAAATAAATATTTTAAAAGATAAAAGATCAAAATAAATATTAAAAAAATAAGATAAAAAATTAAAAATATAATTTAAACTAGTATTTAAGAAAAGATATATTTTTTTATCAAATAATAATTTATTGTGATTAATTATAAGATTCACTAATTATGTAAAACAAATGTATATTTCTTTCTTTTAAACACACATATATATCCTATTATACTTATATCCTATTATTTAAAGAAAGAAGGACTTTCATTTAAAGGTATCATTAACTAATTTATTTATGTATTTGGCTTTGAGAAAGAGATATAAATTATTATTTTTTTTAGGGTTTGATCTATATAGGAGTAAAGTAGATGAGTTATTTTTTAGTTATATTTTGTAGAGATATATTTGTTATGAGGAATGTGTAATTTTTTTGTTGTTGTATAGGGTATTTGAACTTTATTTTTTGGTAATATAGGGTATTTGCACATGACTTCACATTAGTATGATATCGTTCATTTTGAGATTGAATTAATGATTTTATTTTTTATCATCACCCAAAAGACTTCTTACCAATAGGATATGTATGTTCATTAATAAATCTTTGTTTATCCTATTGTTTCAATGATGTTAAATTATACGACTTTATTTGTACCCTAACAATCATTTCTTCAAATAAAGGATCTAATATCTCATTTAGTAGAATCTATCTTTATATTATATTGTTGTTTGTTTATATGGGTTATTGGTTGTTACCGAACCAACCATCCTGTCACAGTTTCATGTTCAAGATATAGATCAAACACAATCTTTAATTAAAAAGTATATGTGTCGAATCAATTTTTTCAAAGAGTTTTGGTTACTGTACCGTCTAGGTAAAAACCCGACTAGATCCTCTGTCTGATTGGAAGCCACTCGGCCTACAACCGAGTTGACATCCCTACGCGAGCCGACTCACTCCTGGTTTGACTCCACTCGCCTATAAGGGGGCTGCTTGGCGCTTAACCGATTGGACCCTAGGCACAGGCCTAGTCGGTCAAAATCCGACTTGACTGTTGCTCGGCGCTTACCTGATTGGACCCTTGGCACAGGCCTAGTCGGTCAAAATCCGACTTGACTAATCCTCACTCATTGCGCGGCCTCGTAGCAAGAACGGTTGAGGAAATCCCTACGTTCTCGGGGCCCATAAGGCCCATGAACGACGAAGTATAAAACCTAAAATCCTAAGGCTAAGAGGGCAGATTACACTTTTGAATGCTCTGGCTCTAAGGCACGATCTAGGAAAAAATCCTAGTCCACCCTTTGGCTGGAACAGTTACCATTAATTGTTAGCATAACAATCATATATGTTTTTTTACTTTTAAATCTATTGTTAATAAGATGATAAAGTGATATTGTTTAAAGAAGAGAGGACAAAAATGTTTCAATTCATCATATTGATAATTATGAAAGATAGGTTAATCTCTTATATGTATTAAAGAGATGTCAATTTGATATGAAGTTGATAATTATTTATATAATAAGACACAATTTAGAAAACGTTGGTGGTCTTTTTCACATGGTACTCTACAAATTTTAAAAATACTAATTTTTGTTTTTATTTTATGTCTCTATTAAAGATTGTGTGAATATATGTTTCTCTCACCTCTTAAACTCTCTAATTATTATTTACTATCATATTTATTAGAGTAAAATTGATTTATTATAATTTTGTTTTATAAATCGAATAAAATCAACTAACATAATTATTTATGTCGATTTGGTTAAAAATGTTTATAAGTATTGGAAGGAGTATTTTATTATATAATTTTGGTGTATATTAGTTAATTTAGTGTCTAATTTTGTTGTGGTTCAATTAATTTGATTTTCAATGCAAACCACTAGAATTTGTGCAGTAGTAAAAATTGAGATAATATGTACAAATTTTAAATTTTTGTATCATCATTTTAATTCCTACAAATAAAAAATAATAATTTTCAATACAAAGGATTAAATTGATTAATTATTGCCTAATACAAAGACTAAGTTGATTATAATGGCTAAATTTAAGGATTAAATTAATTGGTTTTGTAATTTTAAGGGAATTAACTTAGTTAATGATACTAGTACTTATAAATTTGAGAGATTAAAACTAGAAATTTTTACTGTATCGTTATGATCTCCTAATAATTGAGTAGGTCGATTACTTAGACTAATCACTTAGACTATTCACACCTTTGACAATCAAGCTTGAAGATCTATGTGTTATACTGATCTTCTATCAACCAATCAAATTGAATAGACTCTCTTATTAATGACTGATCAACTCGTTAGATACATCACATGACAAACTCGGTTGACTTCTGAATCATTCTTCATGCAATTAATCGGGGACAAGATGTCGTGATTTATAAAATAGATATGATAACATTCATAAATACCAATATTTATGGACCTATTGATGTTAATAAGGATAGAACGTGATTTGTGAGATTATAACAAAAAGTAAAATATTCGTGTTTATAATGTCACCTAAATTTATATATAGGACTACTATGTCTTAGAAAAGATCAATATTTACACTCACTTGATATTCTGAATCAAGACAACCACTGAGTTTTTTTTATAGAATCCATACCGGAACACTTACCAATCTGACGGGTAAAGGTGGGACGGGAGGGTTGGGTGAACATGGTGAATTGAGTAGATTATCTGCAACAACGTTCAATAACTGATGCTAACTAATATATGTAGTCTCTGTACTTTATTTTACTACTGCTACAATATCTTAAATTCAAGAAACTTAATACGAGTCAATTTACAATCCAATTAAACCACCTTTGGTTTACAAATAGAAGTTTAAAACACAATCACATTCAAAATAAGCCAGACATTTATCTTATGTCTAGTACTTGCTCAAAAAGGAAAATACAGTTATCTGTAACCGGAAGATGTTACTGCCACATGTTACTTAATTTTAGACTAGCTTGAAGAATTATATCCCCAGTAAGACACCTATCTTAGTTATATGACCTACTCAAGTGAAGCTGCAAGGCTCTCCTGCAAATCCCACCTTAGAGAGTTTGGCATCATATATCACCCTTTGGTTCCTCTGCTGATAGTTCCCAATGATCCCCATTTCATATTCATCAGAAAGACTTGCAAGGGCCAAACAAACCTGCGAAGCATCCTGTTTAACCAAATAGAATATGCCAGCTGCATCCACATTCATCTCAGCATTGCCCTCAAAATGCATCCTTATGGTAGGTATGCTTACATCCTCATACCCTGTGAGATTAAAGCAGGTATCCAAAATTGAAAATCCTGGTGCTGAAGGGAAACCAGAAAACTGTTCCAACAACTTTGCCTTCACAGCCTTGTACACAGATGGAGGCAGTCTTGAGATCACTGTCCCAGAATCAAGTATTACCCCACCATTTCCAAAACTTGAAGCTTGCACAGCCACACCACCAACATCAATGCCAGTGAGATTGAGTATATAAAAGTTGGATAACTGAACATTAGGAACCATCCTAGTGTAGGCAATTGGAGTAACATTTTTGAAAACCCCAGATTGATTACCCATAACCAATGAGCCAGAAGCTCCAACTTGAGTTGAAGGTAAACAGTATGAAAAAACTCCTCCAAATGTAGCATTCGTTTGAGATATCATTGAGAGGTCACTTCTTCCCAACCCCATAATGCCTGAGGCTCCTCCAAATAGACCTTTGTTGTTCCTTCCACATCCAAATACAAAATTACTCACTGAAGTACCTCCAAAACTCAGCTTCTCAATTCCCAACTCACCACTAGTATATGATCCATCACCATAGTTAACCACATAGCCACAATTTGATGGACTAGTATCACATGCTCCTGAGTTTCCGGTAGTCAATTGAAGAGATTGACAGGTTGTGGAATTGCACAGAATTGATTGATAGGAAGGGGAGGTAGAAGGTTTGAATAAAGGTCCTTTCTGATTATAACATGATTGGCAAGGCTCGCATTGGATCCATGTTAGGTCGCTTCCAGTGTCTACTATGACGGTCATGTTCTGGCTACCCAATCCCATCGTCACAATGTAGTTTAGAGTTTGGAATTTTATGCCTGAAGTTAATGGAACTTGGGTTTCCGAGGCATCTTCAATTTGGCTAGAGGTCTTTTTTCGAATGTGATTTTGAATTGAACGAACGTGGAGAGCATCCAGTTCCAACTGTTTCTCAAGCCAATCAGCTTTTCTCTCTAAGCAATGACCCTTGTCTTTCATTTCAAGTATAACAGCACCTTTCTCCCTTCCTGACAAATAAAAAGACTATTCTAAATTTGTAATTTGAAGTTCACAACTTCCTAATACATAGTATAATGCAATCTAGAGAAATATAACAAACAGCATACGCATGTTCTAACAAGGCCCATTAATCTCAACTTCTTGACTATGATATATGACAAGCACAGAGAGAAAGCAACTATGGATGTTTTCTTTCAAGAGAAAGAGCAAGCCTTAACAGTAAAAGGAAAGAAAGTTGAGATAAATATTAAGAGATCTCAAAGTATAATATGAAATAAACAAAGATGGTTGTCAATGAACTCACTTGATTCGGGGAGGTGGCACCCTGGGGTACCATGTTGCTGTTTCCTCTGCAAGTTGAAGCTCTTCTTGTCATAAGAGTGAACACCATTTGCAATGACGAGGTAAAGAGAAAGAAGGATGAGAAAGTGTGGCAACATGGGCGTTGCCTCGGCCATTATTGGGGGATAAGGAATGGTATGAGAAAAGTTTATAAGACAATAGCAATGCAAGGGAAGGGAAGGCAGAGAGTGGGGTAATAGAGAGATTCTGAGCGATGGATTTTGGCATGAAAACAAAAGAGCAAGCGCTGGCTTTGAGACCCCACTTGTGCATGAGAAATTATTGGGGTTTCACGTGCACATATTGAGAAAACAAAACAAATGTTCTGTTTGTTTTGTTGGTGCAGTGGGACCAAGGGATATATATCTACTCCTACAAACTTATGTACATAGGTATGTGTATTTTTATTGCTATGAATGTAGTGTTAAATCATTACTCTTGACATGTATACATATATATAGATATGTGATTGGTAAAGCCATGTCCATGTCAACACTGAAGAAGAATTTCTTGGATTAAGGAACTTGAACTTTCTTTTGGAACCTAACCCTGAGATAAGGTTCAGCATCTTCACGGAATCAAGTGTACAGTGTACTTTCAAATTTAACCCAGAAGATGAGTTCAGGGACCATAAGGATCATGGAATGTCTCACTGCTTGGCATTTGGTGCGTTTCGCCAAACTCTCTTGCTGTTTGATTTTTTTTTTTATACAAAAAAGTGGGGGGTTCCTAGAGGAGTACTAGTTGAGTTTGTTCTGTTTTATAGAAAACTCAACGAACACAAGTAATCAGTTAGAGAAAGCGATACTCAAAAGTCAAAAACAGTTCCACTCCAAAAAAATCCAATCTCAGGAATTCATTTGGTTTTTATATAAAACTTGGTCTGTTATTGATGTTCCATCGAGGTGAGGAATCACATTTTAATATTATATATAGGATAAAAATTAAATGAAATTTTCCTCATAAAACTTTAACTTATGCCTTAACTTATGGAAAAGTAAGATGAGGGAAATTTTTTAAAAACTTTAAACAAGTAAATTGATTTTAACACAAAAAGAATTTATTGAATAGCTTTTTTTTTTCTTCAAGTTTTTGTTGCTTAAATAAAGGATGATTTTTCTTTAACATGATCTTGATGATAAATATTTACCAATTTTATCAATGTCTAATCTTTAAAAGTAAATGTAAATATTATATTATTTTCATGTGTTGAATTTGAAGAGTGTAAAATGTAAATCATGTTTAACTATCTTTTGGACCGTATAAATTTGCAATCAATCTAAATTATTTTAGGGGGCGAAATTAAACCTAAAAAGTCATGTGTATGTGTTTATATATATATACAAACCGCAACACTCTTCTACTCCCTTTTTATTTATCAATTAATGGGTGTGACCTAGGAAAATGAATTAATGGTTGTTATCGCAGGAAGGATGTGTGATGTGTTAAAGTAAGGGTAAAGAAAGTGCAGTGTGAAAAATTGTAAAAAGAAAAAAGGTTCAATTGATTTTTTATTATTATAGAATTGTCTTTTATGGCATGGCAGCAGCTGCAACCGGATTATTACTGGGAGGATACACGTACAAAGTCTCATGAGCTCTTGTCCAATTATTACTGAGAGGGTTCATCAGTTCTCATAAACACTTAGTGTGTAAGGCGATACTGGAGGATGTACGTACTAGTCCCAGACGCTCT